CGTTCATTCTGTATAGGTAGAATTCGTGTACACCTTCAAAATTGAAATTCATACTTTTTTGGAAGGCCTCCTTCTACTCTATTTCTTCTATCTCCTCCTGTTTTCTTTTCATCCCTGCTTCTACCATCTATTGATCTGTCTCCCGAGCTCTATTTTTAGCCACATGGAACATCTCAGGGAGCTGCTGAGCGATGGAAGACAGATGCCACTGATTCTGTGAGGTGAATTTTTATTTGATAGCCGGGTGATAAGACTTCAGATGTCTTTTTCGATGTTTACTTCACTTTGGCGCAAAGCAGTGAATAAGCCCATAATCACTCACATTGCTTTGTGTTGTTGTGCTCTCATGTGGTCATGTGTTATTTTGTTTAAAAAAAGACAGGCAGCCTGGTGTGATAGAGAGTGTTCCTTTGCTACTTCACGGTTCACTTATTGCGGTTTCACTCTTGAGGTGGTTTTCCTCTATTGCAGGTTTACTATTTCAGGAGGTTTCTTGGTCTTTTGCTCCCTTCCGAGGTGGACAAGTCAAAAAATATCCGTTATTTTTTATTTATTTGTGTATTTTTTTAGATGAAATTCATTCATTAATTCATTTTCTGAAGTACTTTATCCTCACTAGGGTCGCGGGGCGTGCTAGAGCCTATCCCAGCTGACTTCGGGCGGGGGACACCCTGAAGCAGTTGCCAGCCAATTGCAGGGCACACAGAAACAAACAACCATTCGCGCTCACACTCACACCTAGGGACCATGGTCGAGGAATTCGACCTCTTTCTGTCGCAGGTTGCATTTGTCAGGTCTCAGTTTCAGGCCATGTTTATGTAGTCTTGAGAATACTTTTTTTCAGTGGATAAAGGTGTGTTTTAAAATCTGGCAAGTAAACTATGTTATCTTCCAGATACATCAAGCGTTGAAAAGTGGCAGGGGCATTGCAGAGGCCAAAAGGCATCCGTTGGAACTCAAACAGGCCCAGCGGTGTCGTAAAATCAGTCTTTTCTTGGTCTGTGGGGTCTATCTCCACTTCCCAAAATCTGCTCCACAGGTCCAAGGTGGTAAACCACTACGCTTTGGTGAGAGGAGTCAATACCGTCTCAATTCTAGCAAGAGGAAAAGCATCTTTGTGCTTTCTAGTTTAACTTCCTATTATCGACACAGAATCTCCAGGTTCCATCCTTTTTCCTTACAAACACAATAGTTGCTGCCAAAGAACTACAATTTTCACAAATCATGCCTTGGTCAAGCATAGCGGACAGAATTGCTGTTACTTACACACCATAGAAGGTAATGGTCAGAAACATTCTCAATGGGGTTAACATCACCCATCAGCATTCGATGTTTCACAGTACAGTGATCCCTCGCTATTTCGCGGGTTGTTTATCGCGGCCTCGGTGCATCGCGGATTTTTTCAAACATATTCATTAAAAAAAAAAAAAAAAAAAAAAAAAAAAAACATCCGAAAATGCCCCAAAAAGTCCGCAAAAGGTCCACGAGAGGCAGTGAAAGTCAGAAAAACAACAGCAAGTCACATAGAGCAACATATAGAGTACTACATACATGTATTTACTGTATTTCGCTATTCATACACTAACCTAACCTAACTTATACATGTCTAAATATATTAATATATAGCATTAAGTAATGTTAATTACTACAAACATGCATGTATGCCATTAAATTTGGCCTTACAAATATTATCTATACTCATACACATGTACATATACCTATACGGGGCGTTCGCTACTTCGCAGATTTTCGTCTATCGCGGGTGATTTCGGTCCCCATTAACCGTGATAAACGAGGGATTACTGTACCCGCTTTCCCAAAATCCTCCTCACGGATGGCAAATACTTCTTCACCCGGTGTTGGTCTCCTTCTGTTAAATCTGCCCTCCGGCAGCAATTACACTAATCCTTCCACCCTGCTGTCCTTTTGAAAGAAAGGGAGGGGTGATTCCCTCAATTGCAATTGGCCAATCTGGCCACCTTGCAGAACTTGATTGATGAGAAAGTCTTTAGCTCCAGGTGTCTTCAGAACCTCAATTAGGTCCAGCTATTGTAATAATGCAATTAAACCTGCATGCAAAGCCACTCAAAAGAGACCGCCCGCAAAACAAAAACCAAATGGCAATCCAACATTGAAAAAAATGTTAATACACCTTAAAATAGCATTACGGTAGTCAAACAACTGACTAATTTTAAAATGGCTTCCTGTAACCTGACTCCCACGTCGGATTGTACGTCAGATGAACATAAACAAAACAATGGCCAACAGGGGGAGACAGAACGGGAAACCTGGCAGTTCACTTAGATGCCTTAGATGTGAAAAGAAAACAATAGGGAAGAGGCAAAGGGAACTGCAAATTATGGAAACAAAACTCTGTGCTTAATATGCACTTAAATATACAGGGTGTCCATAAAGTCTCATTTCAAAAATGTATTAAAAATGCAATTGATTAGATATTTTATTCAGATTTGTTTTATTGTATTCAGTGTTTATTAAAGGTTTTTTTTATCGCACTCCCCAAAGGTGAATGTGTGGTGTGGGATCATGTGCAATCGAATAATTGGTCCATTTTTCTTCAACGAGACATTCATTTCTGCAAATGTTTACCTTGACCTTTGAACTGAATATGTGGCACCACAACTGAATGACCTTCAAGCAAACATCATTTTCCAGTAAGATGCTGCACCACCACATTAGGGGCTGCATGTTCGTGGGTTCCTCAATCAAACATTTCCAGATTGGTGGAATGGAAGGGATGGGCCAATTCCTTGGCCGCCATGTTCACCAGATATCACTCCCCTGGACTTCTTTCTATGAGGCTATGTTAAAGATATCGAGTATCGAAAAAAGATAAGGGACATTACTAACCTAAAGCAAAGGATTACTGATGCCATTGCCACAATTGATGAGGCTATGCTGCAGCGAACATGGCAAGAAATCGAGGACCGTCTTGATGTGCTTTGTGCAGCTAATGGTGCCCATGTAGAAGTGTATTAAAAGAGGTAAAAAAAAAAAACAACTTTAATAAATGCTGAATACAATCGAACAAATCTGAATAAAATATCCAATCAATTGCATTTTCAATACATTTTTGAAATGGTAAAGAGACTTTATGGACACCCTGTATTTCAAGACCCCTATTGAAACACTTTTTGAATGAAATAAATTCTTTGGCATATTCTGTGGAGCCGCTCTGGATCCTTGCAATCTCTTCTGTTCAAACCGCCCCCCCTCCACCCCTAGCCCCCACTGGGATCCTGCAAATGAAAAATCGTGGCTCCGCCAGTGGTAAACACCGCAAGTCAAAATTCCCAAATGTTTTGTCATTGTTGAGATTAAGCGAACCTAAGTACGGATAAAACTCGACAAAATAATTTCACAGTAAAAGCAGCCTCAACACATGAAGTTATTTCCATACATTATTGTGGCGTACATAAAAAGTAAACGTCACCAGCAGGGGTGCCCAAGTCTGGTCCTTGAGAGCCCCTATGCAGCCTGTCTCACATGTTTCCCTCCTCGAGTACACCTGATTCGAATGATGAGCTCATCAGCAAGCTTTGCAGAAGCCCTGATAACAATCCTGACGTTTCTGATTTTGCTCCTGACTATAAAGAGCGATGACACCACATATCAGATGAAAACGGCAACTCCATTATATTTCAAGCATATCTCAGCGGCCAGTAAACATAGTGTGTGATGGTTTCAGAAAAGGTCCGTTTTTTCGTTTGTACGTATGGAATTGAATGGCCAATATGGACTGGCCGGCGAGCCTGAGCAACATGCATCCACATAACAATTTGAAAGTGAAGTCGTAACAGTGTGACACAATGAAACAAAACTCACTCTGTAATTCATGACGTTGTGCAATCAGCTTGCACTCAAGAACACCCAACAATTACATTTAATTGAGGATTAGGATTTTTGTTGAGACCAAATTGTAACTGCATTAATTTAACCATAATTGACATCAAATGGATGGTCGGCTAATTCCAAGAGTAGATGGCATGTTTCATTCATAATCAACATCAGGGCATATTAAATATCCAAAAATCTCAATCTTGTCAAGTGTATGAGACGTATGGAATATAATCGAGAGAACAAAGTATGTCATTTGCTTAATAAAGTAGTCATTACAAGACAAAGATAGATTTGCGTGAGAAAAAACTGATACGTGACGAACAGATACACGACAGTGCGTCAAAATGTTGACTGCTTTGTGTTAGTCTGCGAATGTAAGTCACGCTGGGTTAGAATGTGGTCGGATAGGTTCCAATACTAACAAGTGTTTGGAAACAAAATGTTCCCAAGGTTCAGCAGCTGACAAACGTTATTATCTGCAGCACCTGCACAACCATCATAGGATTGTATTGCACCACTGATCACTTTATCTCTGCTCGATGACTCTCCACGTTGTCGCACAGCTGTCATTGGGTGGTGCTGCAGCACAATGGTGCCCTCACATCACGGAAAGTCTTTTGATACTTGAATGTCATGTCTTTGTTTATTGTAGTTGCTTGTTATTGCAACACGAGACAAATTCTTTGCGTATTTTACATACTTGGCTAATAAAGATGATTGTGATTCTGATTGTTGATGTTCAGAGAAGCTTTCGCTCATTTATCTTATGACTTGTAATACAGCAGTGTTGTTTTTTGGCTGCCATTTTAGATTTAGTCTCATTAGTGTTTTGGGCAAAAAAGGCCATTAGTTTTAGTCACATTTTCATCATTCCTATTTGTGATCGTTTTAGTCTAGTTTTTTGTCGACAAAAACACCAAAAGGTTTCAATTTACAAATACTCAAAAAGGTTTTACTCTCATTTGAGTCAGTTTTAGTGAAAAATAGACGTACAAATTTTCCACCCAATAACAAAGACTTTCTGATCTACTAAGGATTATGCATTACACGCAGATAAAGTGGTAACAGTGGAATGAATGCAATCATTATTCCAAAATAAGCCAAGATCGAAAACATTTTCTTGGGCAATTGTTGTGCATTTATTTCTGTGAAACAATCCGCTCAAGTGCAACGAACATACACGTGCCCCAAATATGCGCAATGGATGAGCAACACTTAAACACGTAAACAAACATGGCACTTGAAGCAAAATAAGTAAACAAAATAAAAGCAACAATGTTTTAACAAGATTCTAGAGGGGACTCCTATCCCTGGTGCAGTTATGGTGTAAAGTTTATTTCATCCTCAGAGTTGACAGAGTGGATGATTTCGTCACTGCAGCTCAGAATAACATGAGACGTAAGAGAAATAGATGCATTCCATCCCATCATCCAAATAAATAGCAGAAAATACTCCACAGCCTACTTAAATCATAATTCCTACATGTGCCGTAATCTACTTTTAATATTTGATTATACACACAACATGCTAATGAATTGACGTTGGCTCAGCCAAAATGACTTAAGCCTTAAATTAGCCCATTTGTGTCAGGGCTTACGGGGAAAACTGCGTTGTTCTTTCTGCTGGGTTGTACCAAAAGTACAGGATGGCCCGCATATGTTTTCTTCAATTCCGACCACCAAGCCCCTTTTGTGACACTGCCGCCATGGTTCAGACGTGTTACATTTTGTCGGTGTGTGCGTGTGTCCTGCGTGCCGACCAGGTGTTGGGCGCGACCAAACAAGGATACTTTGCAGCAGAATTGCTGACATTTTTTGATAGACAGATAAGATGCACAATAGGAGGCAAACAAAGCATAGAAAAGAAATAGGCCCATGCTTAGTGAATGATATAATAAAATCCAATGATAAGGTTTCATCTTGAAACATAAATCCAAGAAGGTGGAAATAGCCAAATGGACATTTGTGGCTGAATTTTAAATAGGGAGCAGCCCAGGCAAGTAACAATTCCGACATTCAAAAATGCATAGCTCAGGGTGCTTTTTAACTCGCATGAGCAAATTCCGTCTCTTGCTCCCACGGGTTCTCATTACGGAAAAGGTTTGTCTGTTGTACTCTTCATTGTCACCTGTCTGATGAGTATCATGAGTCAACATGTTCGAGGGGCTGCCCTTACGCAGATAAGCTTTTCGTTTGAGCTGCCATTGTGGTGCAATTGCGAGGGTTATTGATGATTCAAATTTGACAGAAGTATCAACAATATCTGCACCATATGAGGAAAACTCATTGCTAAATGACATGCTCCTATGATTTTTTATGTAATTGATGTGTATGTTAAACCACCTGTGAGAAAGACACATTCCAGCATCCCAAACTGCTTTTTGCAATGCCTTCTCTTCCGTTTATAGTGATAATGAGGAATTTTGACCTGAATTCACATTAAAAAAAAAACAACAACAGCAAAAAAACAAAAGTGCAAGTACGTCATCACTGAATGTGTTTTGAACAAATTTGTAAAACAATGTGTTGGGAGACCTACCCTGCTGTTTTTGTTGCGCAACAACCTGAGAACCAGAAGAGAGACCACACAAAATCCTGCAAAAACTGCCCAACGAGCCGAGGGCACTGTTGCGACCTTTTGATGACTCACAAAGATGAGACTAACACTGAGATAACAGTCGTGTGTGTGTGTGAACAGAGATGGTCATTTAATTAGGTACAGCAGGTAAACATACATAAAACATTCAACCAAATACAATGGGAGCCTGAGTTCAATAAGAAAAGGAAGCACCGTCTATGTCTGTCTTTGAGTTGGGCAAATAATTTTCCATGTATATTTTCTTGAAAACATTACAAAGACAAAATAGTTCATGTTCAAACTGATTAAGTCTATTGTTTTTTGTAATTTGTAATTTTTGGGGCAAATATTCACTCGTTTTGAATTTGATGCCAAAAAAATGGAACATGGGCATTTTTAACAGAGTGTTCATCACTTCTCCTTTTAACATCACGCAATTTGAGCATTTGGCTCTCCATTATTGTATTATTATTGTATTATTATTATTTTCAGTGGGAGGCAGGTTTGGACTGCTGGCAGGTCAATCTAGCGCTCACATTCTTTTCCTTTGAAGTCACACTGCTGTAACACGCGCAGAATGTTCCTTAGCATTGTCGTGTTGAAATAAGCAGGGACATCCCTGAAAAAGATGTTGCTTGGATGATAGCACGTTACGAAACCTGTATGTACCTTTTAACCTTCAGGGATGTGCAAGTTACCTATGCACTAACACACCCTCATAACATCATAGTTGGTGGTTTTTTAACTTTGCGCTAATGACAATCCACATCCTTCTCCTCCTTGGCCCGGAGGACACAATGTCCTTTTCCAGTGAGTTCATCTCCGATGAGCTCAGACGCAAAGAAGCAGGTGGCATTTCTGGGTGGAGTTGCTGTATGGCTTTCGCTTTGCATGGTAGAGTTATAACTTGCATTTGTAAATGTGGTGGCGAACTGTGGAAACAGAAAGCTTTCTGAGATGTTCCTGAGCACACGTGGCAATATCCTTTTATACAGTGACTTTGAATGCAGTGCCACCTTATTACCGTATTGGCCCGAATATAAGACGGCCCTGATTATAAGACGACCCCCTCTTTTTCAAGACTCAAGTTTGAAAAAAGACTTTTTGAAACCAAATTAATTTTTATACAGAAAATAATTACAGTACATCTGAAACAAATGATTCAAACAATATATTTGAGAGAAAAAGCATGTTATTTTGCCTCATTCAAATCTTAATATCTGAAGATTTAAATATGTAAACTAAAGTGCAATCACATTTGTAACTTCTGGTTTTTGAAATGTAAATTACATCATAACTTCTCCTCAGCTGCCAGTTGACCTGGCTGATCTTTGACCCACTTTTCTCCAGATTGTCGCTATGTTTCTCCATTTTCTGTTATCTCTTCTATTATTTTCTTCTCTTTTCTTTCTTATTGCTATTTTTTATTTGTCTTCTTCGTGCTACCGCTATTTTTATTTTTATTCTTCGTGACAGGGGTTCGCTTTGGCCTGGGGAGTCAAGTTCAGCATTGGCTTCAATGATATCTGGCACCATCTAGCGTCGTGAATGGGTATAATGTCTCGACCCCGAATATAAGACAGCCCCCACTTTTTCAGTCTTATTTCAATGCAAAAAACACCGTCTTATATTCGGGCCAATACGGTAAGTACTGAAGGTCAAAGGGCATTCAAGGTTGGTTTTCGGCCATGCTGCATGCAACGTTTTCCATGATATTATGGACTGTAGATAAATTGCATTGAGAAAAATTGTTCTGAAACTGTTTGGACTGTTTGCTCACACAGTTGTTCACAAAGCCTTTCCGAGATGCTCCTTTGACAACCAATCATTACTTTCACCTGTTTCAAATGAACCAAATTGTTTTTTTTTTTGTAGGTTTCAACAACTTTCTCGGTCCTATTTCCCAAAAACAGTAACATTCATTTGTGTGTGTGTGTGTGTGTGTGTGTGTGTGTGTGTTTGTGTGTGTGTGTGTGTGTGTGTGCGCGTGTGCGCGTGTGTGCGTGTGTGTGTGTGCGCGTGTGCGCGTGTGTGCGTGTGTGCGTGTGCGCGTGTGCGCGTGTGCGCGTGTGTGCGTGTGTGCGTGTGTGTGTGTGTGTGTGTGTGTGTGTGTGTGTGTAAAGAATGTAAATGATGGTTTCTTGTTTGTTTGTTTGTTTGTTTTTTTTGGTTTTGTTTTTCCTTTGGGGTTAGTCAGGGGACAGCGGTTCAGATTTGTCAACTGTGGCAATGTGAAGCCCTTTGAGGAGACTCTTTTGTGATTAAGGGCTATTTAACTAACATTTGACTTGACTCGACAGGTACAAATCTCAAGTCAAAATGCATTCTGGTCATTCTACACTCAGTATGCGTCACTAACTCTCCAGCTTTCCAGCTTCATGACAGAAAGATTGCTCACACTATACTATCCTGTCCTAAATTATATAATGACTTTTTTTGAACAAAATTTAAAACCTGCAACCAGAAATAAGAGCATTAATATTAATCTACTTGGGGTGCTTTGAATTGCTCCCATCTGATTTTGAACCAGGTTTTGGTTGCCTGGCAACAGATATATTGCAGTCTGTAGTTCACAGCTTTCACACTTATTGCATTGTAAACAGCAGCAACGGAGCTATCTTAAGGGTCGCTTGCTGCATTTTTTCCCATCATCTTTGATGTCCTTTTGCAAGATAATTTGGGTTGGAAATGCCCGCAGGGCCATTTTTCAAGCTAGTTTTGTGGCTCTTAAATACCTGGTATGTAAGACAGTTGAATTTCTCATTTATATTCAATTTGTAAATAAGCTTTGTTCTGATTGGCTCGCTGTTCTCCCTAATTTGGGGTGGAAAACAGCTTGAAGTTGCCGATACTGTATGTCGCCATCTTGTGGCCACCATGCTTCTTCGTTATGTTGGCGCCATTGAAATTCAGAGGGTAGTCTGCGAAATTGTGGCTGGCCATAGTGCATTCTGAGGGGCCACGGCACCGCAATGCCTGAGCCTCCCCCGGCGACAAATGTGTTCTCCTTTTTGTTTTTTAATTTGTCCACCTTCATGGTGATGCCTGCCGACGTTGCGGCAAACCACGGAGCACTTTTAGGCGGATTGTGTGTCCGTGTGGCTGTGTCACTTCTAATCTGAAGTGTGAAAGCTGACAAAGCCATACGACATGAAATGTGCCAAACACAGCACAAATCTTGTTCTGAAATGCTGAGGAGGTTCTCCCAAAACAAACTGAAGAACTCCTCTGAGGTTGGCAGCTGATGCAAAGTTTTAGCTTTGCACAAGAAGCAGGCGTGTTGTTTTTTTTTTCCTGAGTTGGCTGGTTGTGTAGCAGCAATGAAGTGGCCAGGTACTTGAATACTGAGGGTTGAATATTTATCGCAGCGGTGCTGAATTCAAATCTGCTAGTTTTGCTGGCGTTTTTTCTTTAAAAGGCTATTGCATGCAAACTGCATGAATATCAAACTTAAGCCATTTTCAGACTAATTTTTACCCATGTTACTGTTATGTATAAAACATCCATGCATTCATTTTGTAATCTGCTTATTCTCACAAGGGTCGCGCTGCAGCCTATCCCAGCCGTCTTCGGGCAGGAGGCGGGGTACACCCTCAAGTGGTTGCCAGCCAATTGCAAGGCACAGAGACGAACACCCATCCGCGCTGACACTCACACCTCAGGACAATTTAGAGTGTTCCAGTAACCTGCCACGCATGTTTTTGGAATGTGGGAGGAAACGCACACAGGAAGGCCAGAGCTGGAATCTAACCTTGCACCTCTGCACTGTGAGGCCGGCGTGCTAACCTGTCAAACACCCTGTTGCCATGTATAAAACCGTGAATTTTTTTGCCTTATGGCAAGAGACCTTTAAAAGCCACTGTCAAACGAGCCTGTACTGGGTTAGCGAGCAAGAAGGGCAGATCAATCAAGCTGTAAAATTTCAAGTTATCTTGGTTGTTTTGTTTTGTTTTGCAGGCACAGTCAATATTAACATAAGTACGATCTTAGTGTCAGCTGAATTAAACAGTTCTTATCAATATGCTTATTATAAATTTCCGTCTCTCCAGAGGTAAGATGCTGCTCCCAACAAGCATGCTAATTGGCCTGCTGTGCCTGAGCCACGCAGGCGCTGCGATGGGTTTCGCTTGGCTGCCGGACAACGATGAACTACGGTCAGCTTTCTCGGTGGCTCGGACCAACAGCATGGAAGGTGGACCCAAGATGACGGTGACCTTTGACACTGTCTATGTCAACATTGGTGGGGATTTTGACCCAAAGACTGGCTTGTTTCGCTGCCGCATCCCGGGGGCCTACTACTTCTCCTTTACAGTGGGAAAGTTCCCTCATAAAGACTTGTCCGTCATGCTGATGAAGAATAGAAATGAGGTCCAAGCTATTGTCTATGAAGAGAATGCTGGAGAGGAGAGGAAGGTAGGTCAGAGCTCTGTTATTGCAGCAATACTAAGCAGTGCAGAAAAGCACACCGCTGCATTGGGGAGAAATGGCAAATCCTGCCAAGTGGAAGGCAGATGAATGGCGTATGCCCACATGAAGAGCATGAGAAGGTGGATTTCACGCGTGTATTTTTAAACATCTTTCTTTCCTTCAGCAGCTTTAGGACAGAAAATATATTTTGCTGTAGCAGTTATAATCACTGTAGATTTTTCGAACACACAGTTTAGCATCAATGACCGACCTAAAGGTTTCTCTCACAGTGAAAAAAAAGTATCATAAATCAATCGATTTTTTTCTGAGATGTTTTTTTTAAATATTCAAATCAAAACTACTTTTTTTTTTTTTTTTTTTAACAAGCATACTGCCTTTTCAACATTTCGTCATTTAATTCTGTGCAGACTGTAACTGCACCAATAATTTTACAGTCCATTAGCCCTCCCTACTACAAGCACGTTTAGCTTGGGAGCATCAGAGGATCACGTTGCTTTATGAATAACCTTTATCGTGACTAAGCTCTGTTTCCCAATGTCTCACAAAAAAGTCATCCTTTGCCAAATCAACCCAGAAATCTGAAAATTAAAATAATGTAAAATAATTTCACCTTGAAATTGACCTTGTGAATCATGTGACCCTAACAACTTTTTTTTCATGAAATGTGATCTCACACGTGTTCTTTAAAACACAAATACAACATTCATCATATTAAAAGTTGAATATTAATTGTTTATTAATTGGAAGTTGAATATTCATTGAAAATTTCATATTTAATAAAACATAAATAAAAGGTATGGATACTTTGACCCCTTATTAACGCAAAAGAAAAAACCCACATCTCGGAAACCGTTATATGTTTTAGAGAACATGTAACATTTTGTTCAGGACACGTGATCCACAAGCTCAATTTCAAGGTCAAATTATAGGTCAAAAGGTCAAGTAACAAAACTGTGCCTCAATCTTCTCAATGATTGCAGCTTTGTAATTCTTATTGAGTTGCCTTTCTAACAATACCTTTGTTTTGAAGATTGACACAGTATTTCCTGAGCCAAAGGGTGAAAATGAAAGCGGCCATGGACCTTTTTGTCAAAAATGCCAAAATTCTGTGCGACGTAGCTACCAAACTGCTGCTCCGATAGGCGGAAAATTTGAGAGTTAGTGTTTTGCCATCACTGTCAAGTACACCAAGTTTCATCCAAATCAAAATCTGCTTGGTGAAACCTAGTGGGTGATTTGGCATGGAATGACCCAAAAATCTCAGAACTATGTTAAGATATGTAAAGGAGACTTCCCATGCAAAGTGTGCTTCCATCCTTAAGGTACAGAGCCAGAGTGTCATGCTGCAGCTGGAGTTTGGTGACACCATCTGGCTCCGCCTCCACGGCGATCCACGCTATGCCCTCTATAGCAACACTGGACACTACACCACCTTCAATGGCTTCCTCATCTACGCAGACACCTACGACTACCAGACAAACCACCCGCAGCAGCAACGCCCTGCATACAGCTCCCAGAAGCTTCAACAGGACAACGTGCCAATGTGGAATAGTAACCAAGCCACAGGGGACGTTGGGTCTGATCTGAAGAACACGGTGGGCGAGAAGGAGACACAACAGGATGACGAGGAGGAGCAGGAAGAGGAGGAAGATCCACGATCTGCTTTCTCAGTGGGTCGCACTCAGAGTATAATAGGAGTGAATCAGGCAGGCATGCCGCAGCACCAGCCGGTCAGCTTTGACACAGCGTTCGTCAACATCGGGGAGGACTTCAACGTGACGGAGGGGATTTTCATGTGCCGCGTTCCCGGTGCGTACTATTTCTCCTTCAACGTGGGCAAGCTTCCTCAGAAGACTCTCTCTGTCAAGCTAATGAAGAACCACCTGGAGGTGCAGGCAATGATCTATGACGACAGCCACGGAGAAAAAGCTCTGCAGAGTCAGAGCTTGATGCTCTCGCTCAAACCCGGCGACACGGTTTGGCTCTACTCTCACCAGAGAGATGGCTTTGGAGCGTACAGCAACCACGCCAAATACATCACCTTCACGGGCTTCCTGGTGTACCCGCACTTAGCCGCCACAACTGCCATCAATGCCACCGGTCAGTCACATGCAGATAAGAATCCCTAGCTGCAGCGTCTTGGCTACAAACTAAATGTTTAAGTTGGAATTCATGTAAATTGGTGCGCATGAGTGATTCTTCACGGCTCTTCCATACTTCCTCTTCCTGTGAATTCCTTCGTTGTGCTATGGAGAACTTGGATTGAGAGCAGATCTTGAATATGAGGATCTGCTGAACCTGCCGCAAAAGGCCACCCAAAATGAGACTTATTTACAATGCATCGCCCCCGTATTTGAGACCTTGATTGCTGATGAGAGGCTGAATATGTCACGATCACTGTCCGGAGACGTCATGCCCAAACGACAGCACAGCTGAATTCACTTCAAACTGTAGTTTAATGTCATTGAATGGTGTGGCAGAAGTCCTGAAACTTCAATTTGGGCCATTGGGCATGTGCAATTGAAACAAATGTGAGCCTACTTCTTAAAGGGGAAGTCAAGTCAACAAGTTTCTTGACACTAGTGCGTTCTAAGCACCTCCACTAGTCCAAACATGGTAATCTGAGGAATATTGCATTTGTGGGCTATGAATTAAACAGAAAACTCAACCTGTTTTTATGCATGTCAGGGGGCTGCCATTTTGCCTCGTACTGCCATTTGCTGTCACCTGAAATTGACATCACAGTGCCTAAGAGCTCAGGTAACGATGCTAACAGCTCATCTGTATTCTGGGTCGGGTCATGTTACATTCGCAGTGATGGGATGAGATGAGACAGATACAAGCAGGTGGGATTTTTCTGCTTAAGTTTTATTCCTCAAACACAAAATTAATTGGAATTCCGTGTTTAGACGAATGGGGGCACATAAAACAAATTGTAAAGACAATTTCTGACTTTACTTCTCCTTTAAGCTTTGAAACTGGTATTCAACACAAAGTAGGACAAAATGTTTCTTCGACCTAAAAGAATTCCATTCTGACTCGTGTTTCTGCTTGTAAGTCTTCTTTCTCATTGACCAAATTGTTAAAAGCAAATACATGAACTGTTTTGTTTTTTTTTGACAAATGTGATCATTGTCATTTTAAAGCATCACTCACACTGAAAAAGAGCCACAAGGGCAGCCGAGGACAAAACTTAGTTGCTTTTGGGATAAGTACAAACTTCATATCCATCCCATATGTGCTGTTGACCACATGCCATCTTCCGTGCCTGCGGGAGTGGGCAGCATAATTTGATTTCTAATTCTGGCAGAGTGTAATTTATTTCTTATGATGAAGACCACTAAGGGGAAAATTAAATTTACTCTTCAAGGCCACTTTAATATGCGTGTCAGTTTCATTTTACACTGCGGCGAGAAACATGATGTGGTTGGAAATTGTGATTACCCAGACATTATGAAATTGTACAGAGTATGCTGCCTGAGAAACGCAATCATTTTTTTGATTGATTTTTCCAATTTGTATCACACGTAACAGGATTATGATAGGGGCCGCTTTTATCTGAGCTCTGGTTTTGTGAGGGTGTGTTGAATGACAAAAGTATCAAACTTACCAGTTGGAATAAAATATTGAAAGTGTAGCCATAAAAACAATATAACTAAACAAAAATGAAAACAAAATATTTATTTTCTATTTTAAAATAATAAATTAAAGCACCTATACAAAGTCAAAAATCATTTACTATATCAGAAGTCTCAGAAATCGACATGGTTTTACCGACTATAATTCGAAAAGCAAGATTCAATTTTTTAAGAAAAAGCCTAACAACATGAGGGGAAATTGGAATTATGGATTATAATTTTCAGCAAATTATAACAAAATGGCTGTCTTATAAAAATATATTTTCACCTTTTTAGGCTCTGAAGGTATTTATCCAAAATTTGGCAAAAAAGCCCCATGACAAAAATAATAGAATACAAAGCAACATTCTAATCAAAGCATTTGTACTGCAATTAGTGAACAAAACACTGAGGAATGTTTTTTTTTTTTCATGAAACGCAAAACAAAAAAAAATGACTGTACTATTGGATTTGTTTAGGGATTAATATTCTTGTGGCGTCATTCACACAACTCACAAAAAGTTAGGGATGCTTGGCCTTCAGGTGAAATTTGTGAAAATGTAAAAAGTTCACGCGACAGTGATATCATGTCATGAAAGTAGGACATTTAAGTAGAATGATGCACTGGTGATTTCCTCATCTCAAACAATTAATTGAAAGAAAAGTTAACAACAATGGTAGGGACACCACAACAAAAAATTTCGACATCTCAATGACTCGTCATGTGCCCTTGAGCGTCACTTTCAGCTTGACAACGATGTCTCATGCTCTTCACAAGTGGACTTATTGTCTGCTGAGGCATGGCATCCCACTCTTCTTAAAGGGCAGCCCTCAGGTCACTGAGGATCTGAGGTGCAGAGTATCGAGCCTTTACACAGCGATCCCTTCTTGGTGTTGTTTTCTAAAGGTTACTTTTACTCAAAGTACACCTTAAGCTTCAGCTCATTCCACTCGTTTCTGTGTTCTGTTTTTCTTTTCACTTTTTCCACCCCAAACACACAGAAATCCCCATTCACAGTTGATCTTTGTGAAACTCTCGATCACTCCCCAAACATGGTACTTGTTACATATTATGGAAAATTCTAATTAATCTGTGGTGTGTGAAGTAACTTGACCATTCTCATCTGAAACTTCCAGAAGCATGTGATGCATGCATGTAACTGAAAATTGCTTCAAGTGGAAAAAAAGAACACAGGCCTAGTTGATACCTGTGTATTATTATTATTATTATTATTATTATTATTCCAAAGTAATGTATCTGTACAGTTCCTGCAATGTGTCATTGGTCTGTGTTTCCATATATAATTGTTTACAATTTTTTAAGTTGACATGGATCCAAACATACACAAAAAATAATTTTGAGACAAGAGTGCCCACTGTGTTCCATCTATTTGACCTGTTAAAAAAAAAAAACTCACAAAATACAAGTTGAGCTTTGTCTTATTTTGATAAATCTGGCTTGTCTTTTAAGTGTCGAAAATTTTGAAAATGAATTCACCAAATTTACCATTTAACAAAATAAAACGATTTAAAGGGTGTACTGGTTGTATGTCATTTTATGGAGAAAAGAAAACAGATGGAACGAGTGACCTGTTCCAAATGATGCTGGGGCGCTATCTGCTGGACAGTTGCAGCAAGAGCAAAAACATTTGGACGGGTGCTGAGAGTTGACGAAATTTTCTGTTTTCAGGCTTTTACCAGCACATTTGTTTTCCTGACAGAATCCGAGTTTCCAGAGACTTTGCCATGCAGGGTTAGGGCACTATTAGTTCAGTGCGCGTACCCCGCGAATTTTACAGATCTTTAAATTGTTATTTTTTATTGCGTGTTTCATAACAAGCTAGAAAAGTGTAAAAATCACGCAGTGCAAAAGTTTACACGTAATATTTTTACGTCTATAGTACAGGCCCTTTTGCTTAAAAATGGTTTCATCCGCCTCACCCCTCCCACCTCTGCTTCGGAGCTCCGAAACGGCGAGCCGTCCAGTCAGGTCGAACGAATGTCTGAGACCGTGTACCATGCTTTAAACAGGAGCAGGGTGCGTGACAAATGTCTTCTTGCAGGCAAATTGATGATAAAATCCATCAAAAAATCTATCAAAGACTTTTTTTTCACAGATCCGTGTTAAGGCATAAACAAAAAAGATATGATAAACCCCACACAGAACTGATACATTTATTTACACAACACTGACCCCAATGCCACAAAGTAAACTATAACCGTTGTCTAGTCGTCATTGTCATTTTGTTGACTGACGCTACTCAGAGAAGAAATAATAATGAGACTACGACTACTACTGCAACTAATAATAATAATAATAAAAATAAATCATAATTTAATGGAAATTCACAAATGAAAAGCTGACATCGCTTTGAATTTGTGGGTCAATGGAATTAAAACAAAACAAACTCACGAATCCGGCCTTGACCCCAAAAATAAATAAATAAATACAGTAATGGTAACCTTATCGAAATATTTTGTTGTACAACCTTCTGAAGCAATAACTGCTATCAAACGATTTTTGTAACTTTAATGACACTTCTGCACTTCTCAGAAGTTGTGACAGCACATAGGTCTACCGCAGGGATCCCCAATCACCGATATCGGGCCTCGGCCCGTTTGGGACCGGGCCGCACAGAGACGGACTTGCGAGCTGTGAGCAAATTTGCTTCATCAGACGTGATGGAAATGTGAGCGACTCCAGCTAATCGGAGGCCCCCTTCTAACCTTGGTTTGCTCTCGTTGAAATAGACAGAATCAATACATGAAAGAAGCAGTGAACAGAAAGTAAGAGTAACAAATTGACTAAACATACATCGAAACATGGAGCTGCTGGGCAGCCACGACTTCAGCAAATGAAGCTATTTGGACAAGTTTGAGAAGCACTTTCTCTGGCGGTATCACCAGGGCGAGGAGGAGGAGGAAGCTGTTGTGCATCCTATGTTGCAAATTTGCTTCATCAGACGTGATGGAAATGTGAGTGACTCCAGGTAATCGGAGGCCCCCTTCTAACATTGGTTTGCTCTCGTTGAAATAGACAGAATCCACCAATAAATGAAAGAAGCAGTGAACAGAAAGTAAGAGTAACAAATTGACTAAACATACATCGAAACATGGAGCTGCTGGGCAGCCACGACTTCAGCAAATGAGGCTATTTTGACAAGTTTGAGAAGCACTTTCTCTGGCGGTATCACCAGGGCGAGGAGGAGGAGGAAGCTGTTGTGCATCCTATGTTGTCAAAAACAAGGCAATACAAGAAACCTGTTGAATCATTTCAACAAGTAGCAAAAATGCAAGCGGAGTTTGATCAGCCTGCCCACGTAAACATTAGCAGTTTAGTCGCTAATAACTATCCAGCGGATGGAAGCACCAATCTGTAAAATTATGTTTTCTTGGACTAAAATAAAGACTAAAATGCTCGACTTAGAGTCGACTAAAATTTGACTAAATAAGAATGGGATTAAGTTGACTAGATGTGATAAAAACTAATATCTCATGATCAAATAAATTAAGTAAAATGGTCCATCCATCTATTTTCCGATTCGCTTTATCCTCACAAGGGTCACAGGGGGAGTGACATCCTGAACCGGTTGCCAGCCAATCGCAGGGCACACACAGATGAACAACCATCTGCACTCACACGCACACCAAGGGACAATTTAGAGTGTTCCATTAACCTGCCACCCATGTTTTTTGAATGTGGGAGGAAACCGGAGTACCCGGAGAAAACCCACGTAGGCATGGGAAGAACATGCAAGACCGAAGCCGGAATCGAACCCTGCACCTCTGCATCGTGAGACCAACGTGCTAACCATTGGACCACGGGACCACCGTCAATAAAAGGGGAATACATAATAATAAAAAATGGATACATTTGACTTGATTACAGTGATGTTCGTTTTATTTTCTGTGCGTGTGGTTACTTAGTGCTCAAACTGACTTTTTCCATGTAACACCGGTCTCGGCTGGTACCAGTCATTCATCATAAGTCAAGTTAAATGAACTGGCTTGCATCATTGAAGCGTCTCCTTTTCAAACGAGTTCTGAATGTCTTGTAATTTTATCAACTTTCCTAGGCGGTTCAAGCAAGCGTCATGGGATGTTTCTTTTGACTAAGTGAATACAGATGGAAAGTAAAGTACTTCTTGTTCTGTTGTTGGTGGAAAAACATCACAAAGCAATTCTTGTAACCCAAACATTTTTCATTGCTATTGCTGAAAGGGACGACTCCAATTTTGAGAGGGTTGAGTCAACAAAATTGTCATTTATTCGAATTCAGCCTATTCAAGTTATTTCAAAACATCCATGACCATTCAAGAAATAAAGAGAAACGGAGTATTTTTTACTTGCGTCCATTTCCCCGAAATGCTTGGAAATTCATGACTGCCACGAGTACATCTTCGCCATTGCAATCTTGCGCAGAGCAGATGATTCTTGTTTATCCCCCCGAATGACCGAATTTATCCAGGGCATAAATTTGGAAAGTTCCATGTAGACACCATACTTGTACTGTGCACAGGACTTATCATAAGAGAGTATTCCCGCTGCCACAACATCTCCACTTTGAGGATCTTTGACAGCCAGAGCACCCCCTGCGTCACCCATACACACATTTTCTCCATACTTGGTTGGTCCTGTGCACAACATGTTTTCATCCACAGTTGGCGTGTACTGACTATTCTCATATTCAGCTTTACAATCGGCGCGGGGCACGAGAGGGAGCACCAGGTGTTTGAGCGATGCAGCGAATGTCAGGTAAATGCCGTAGCCCCATCCGGTGATCACTCCTGAAGCTCCCGTGATGGCATGGTTGCTCTCCGGCAGAGGGATGGGGATCACCTTCGACCCTATAGCCACGGGATGCTTCAGCTGGATCAATGCCAGATCATTGTCCCAGTCAGACTGGCTTTGGAAATTTGGGTGGAGAATAACCTGCACAAGAAAACGATACGAGTTAGCTGGTTAAAGGATGACCATCCGAGTCTGCTGTCTCCGAAACGACTAACCTTGCCTGTCCCTCTGATGAGCACCTTTCTAATCCTATCCAGCCTGATCATTCATGGAGAAAAATTCACCATCTTGATTTCCACCACCTCTACTTGCTGCTGTCTCTTGAGCGTTCTAATCCTTACATCACGGCCAGCCTCATTGCGGTCTTAGGAACTTTCCCCTTCATTCTGGAAGAGACTCCGCCATCACATAACTCGCCTGACACATTCCTCCACTAATTCCAACCTGCTTCGATGCATTTATTTTTTTTACACCTCGCTACCAGACTCACCATTGTTCCGCACTGTTGACCTTTAAGGCTTCTTGAATTCAACTCATGCAGGCAGCCCCCACAAATGTGTTGCAGTTTCACTCCAAGTCGGAGGGTGTCGCTAAGACTGGTATTGGCAAGTCTAGGACATCACAAAGTCCATTTCTCAGGCATCCACCCTATAGCCACCTCTCCCTGATGCTTTCATACCTCCGCAGGTATCAGGACCAACCGCCTTTACATTGTTCATCCTCTTAAGTGCCTTTGTAACTTTTCCCTTACTGATCATTGCCACTTCCTGGTCCACCATAATTGCCTCTTCTATTCTCTCTACTCTTTCATTTTTCTCATTCATCATCTTTTAAAAGTATTCCTTCCATTGAGTGAGCACACAGGTGGCACCGCACAATTCTATTACTAACGTTAATCACCCTATTGTGAAGCAGGGTTTCCAAAAACGATGACACTCTCATTTGTCTCATCATCACATTATATCTAATCACTCTGACAATCTGCATCAATGTAGTCTGCTTCTCTCGATGTTATAAAGCAAAATTATGCAGCGGAGTGTAAACTGAATAGAAATACAAATACAAATTTGTACAACACCATTAAAAATTGAAATTGAGTTTTTCTTTTTTCAGTGGTGATGTAGAAATGTGTCTGTTGAGTTTGCCCCAACTTTTTTGGCGAGCAAATTTAAGAAAGTAAAAAAGTACAAGATACAAATGTACTTCTCTGAAGTAGTTTTGTCTTTAACATCCATTCCACTAAATATTTTTGATGCTCACCCTCTCAACAGCAACCTCCTTGGACGGCGTGGCTTCTGATCGATGTGAAATTCCCAGATACACTTTGGGAATGATGGGATCCTTGCTGCGAGTGTCCTGCCGCGTCTTATTGATAAACAGATTCCTGCCTGCTGTCAAAACCCAGTGGCTGGATATCAGCGCGCCGCCAGCATAGCCTCCGTCCAGCAAACTGTCATTCAGGTAGACCATGGCTTGCCATGGGACATGAGGGGCCAGAGTGCCACCAACCATCCGTCTCGATCGCACGCTCAGAAACTTGGAAGCTGGAAAATAAGCAGGGCAGTACGCAGTTAGGTCTGAAACAATGTGAAAAACATGACAGAAGTATAAATTACAAAAACGTCAACCACGTAGATGTGCAAGATGACAAGTACCGTTTCCTGTACATGCGGACATGTAGGGCCATTTTCTCCAATGTGCATAAGTCAGAAAAGGTGCGCAGCTGGGCCCTTTTTCTGGTTGGCATGCATTCTGTCATCCGCACAAATCTGTCGTTTATGCACACTCAGACCAGGTACGCGGTCCGAGTGGGGCAATCGCTAAAATGTGGGTGTTCCCAACTCGGCCCTGCGTAAATGCTACGCACATTCTCCTGTATCCTCTTTCAAACTCCCGAGGCTGCAGTAAATCCAACACCCTGTTGAGGTGGAATATCATATTGCATATTTTGGAATATCATATTGCTCCAACTAGTGAATGATAAATGAATAGCAAAGCACTAATCGCAAATGGAGAAAATAGTTGAAAATTGATTACAACGTGAGCACTTAAGAGCTACTCTTAACACACATAATTATACTGCAAAAGGTTCACCTTTAGCAACCTTGCAACAACTTTTTCTTGCTCTGGCCTCCTATTGGTGGCCTCCAAAGCGCTTGGACACTATACTTAGCACAGCGCTGCGCGCCACCGATCGACAGCGTATGTGTGCTGCAACGTGCAGCGGAGGCTGGGCAAGGGGTGGGTGCTTGGCACAAGGTCATTGCCATGAAAATCAGGTGTTTGTATTTCATTTGGTTGAGTCAACATGTGTTTACCGAGATCCGTCTACATGTGACTGCTACACAGACTTAGGCTGCTGCTGCGAGTGCAAATGGAAAACATTGCAATGTTTGTATGACTGTTGCTAGAGCAATTCAAGAAAAAGGATGTTTTTCATGACTATCTCTTCATACGGCTTAATATTTTTGCTATCCTATTTTGTGGCTTAGTCATGTTGCTTTCCAAAGGATACATCCTAATCATTTTGTCAATGACTTGAACAGGACGTTTTGGAGAGCAAAAGTAAATGTTCGTTTCCAGATTCAAGATGTGTCGATTTCGCACTGGCATATTTATTTATTTTTTTAATAAAATGTGTGTGTGTGTGTGTGTGTGTGTGTGTGTGTGTGTGTGCGTGATGTGTTACCTGACAACGACGGTTTTATCCTTTCCTCGGTGTGCGTCACATCGACCAGGTAAATACACATAGAAGAGAGGAGCGCAGCCAGAGAAAACCTTCAAACAATCACATCGGGAACAAACATTCAATATCCCCTAAAGCTAAAACAAGAGAATCATTCAAGAGTTTAAAAATAAGTGTTCATTGCTACGAAACAAATTGATTCTTTTCATTAGCGGATTGATCTCAATGTAAATCAGAAAGGGTGTTCAAGTGAATTGATATTCAGGTGAATGCATTTTAGCTTACCGCATTTTGTTGCAAATATTTCTGTTTCTCGTCTGATGTCTACAGTCACTTGTTTTCATTTGTGTGACGAGGGGCACGGCTTTATAGCATGCAGATGCCACACACTCGGACAACGTCAGCCATTTCTGGCACTCAACTATGACACTTTGATTCCCGACATCATAAGTAAATAGTTGCGAAATCGCTCATTGCATCAGGAGACAGGCCGTCGTATGGCCTTTGGGGACAGAACGTTTGACTTCAATCAATGACATTTCTATTTACACCGTATGTCCTCTTGCAACTATGTTCTCAAACCATGACAGGAAACCATTTCACAAGTGAATGTTTTTTGTAGACATGCTGTCGAAGCTCTCCAAAGCCCCAACTTTTCAAGTTGATGAAATTCAAAAAAACAACAAATCATCAGCAACCTCAAAATTCTTGATACGGATTTATACTCAGTGTGCATCTCCCATAAAAAAATTTGGTTGAATCAAAACCAATTTTCCGATTGAAATCATTTTTCATTGCACCCCAATGGATAGTTTTATGGACTGAAGGGTTAACATTTTCCAAATTGATGGAAAGGCTAAAGCGTTGGAAAACAAAGGATCTGCTCGTGATTCCCAACATGCAAGCTCATCTGTGAACCTCACAGGTAACACAACGGCTTGGGCTCGTATGTCTTCTTCTGAATGGTTCAATCATCCTTTTTTGCTGAGCACATCGACTGCACTCGGAGCGGCGGTTTTATACTTTTTGTTGTTGCATTTTTTTTTTTCCGTGACGAGAATAGTTATAAATGTATTCCTGAGATTTAAAAAATATTTTTTCTTCTTTGTTGTTTAGTTTCTCCCTTTTCACTGTTAGATACAAAATATATACATATGGTCACAAAATAATTGAGGACAGAGAAGCACTGATATGGCTCTATGGATCCTATAGCTGCTCGTGGTATTTAGGTCGCTCCTTCACACCAACTAGTGATGCTGACCTGGTTGCCAGGTTGGCAGGAAAGAAGTAAAGACCCTCTTTTTTTTTTCTTTCTTTGAAGGTAATACTGTGAATATTCATCTACATTTGATCAGTTTGTTATTTTGCCATTTTGACGTGACAACTAGCCAAAGTGTCAACATTATCTTTGAGCACGCTGTCATCAAGGAAGTTGGGCAACATGTCCACTCTCTCGAGCAGTGTCATGCTATGATGTCATTTTGTGGGCACTCCATAATGAGCCAAAGTTACAAAGTTACGCAACTTTGCCCGGAAATTCCAAATGAAGCCTGGTGATACGACAACGTTGCACCTGTTAGCCACATTAGCGTGTTGGCAGAGTATTCGTTTCTTCTTGGGATACTTGTGACACCTAGTCATTCTTTAAATCAAATGTTTCTGGAAATATTTGTCCATCTTTGCGACGCTACGTTTTAGCCACAGTTAATCACTGATGTTTATAGGTAGGCCAAAGTAATGATTGAGAACATCTGCGAGGTAGAGTCACATGGAAATGTAAAACGTCCCGCTGTACTGTGTATCATTCCTCATGGAATGGCTCTTCCCCAATTAAATTGCTTGGTGAGATCCTAGCTTCTCAGTCCATTAGGGTTGGCCAAAGACATTGGATAAAAGCTGATCAATGCCATCTATCCATCCATCAATCTGCTTATCCTGCTCGGAGTGTAAGTAAACTTTCATTTTGCATCTTGTTTGGGTGTTTGCAGTGATTTTCCTAAAGTATTGACAACACCTGCAGCATTTTCCTGGAGAAAGCGCTCTGCTTTACATGTGTCGACAGAAGTAACCCTGACCAGTTGCTGTTGCAGCCTTTCTTCCTGCACGACTGTGTGCCCGAGTTAACTAACATCTAAACAGAGCAAACATGTTCATTCAACTTGCTGTCTTTTCGTGGGTTGCTTCTGGATATTTATCCGAACCAACGGAACTCTGTCAACCTGATGGAAGACCCCCACCCTGTCAACATGTTTTCCAAAATATTTGTTATGAGATTTGGGCAGAATCTAAATCCTGGACACAAGCAAGGAGCAGCTGCGCACAACGAGGAGGACACCTCCTGGGAGAGTTTAATGATGCCATCAAAATGATTCTGAATGACTTCACCAGACAGAGAAGCATCGGTAACCTCACCTGGTGGCTGGGGCAGAGAGATCGTGAGGACAACCTGGAAGCCCTGTTGGGTGATTACGGTACATTTTTGTTCTTTTGTCAGTCAATGAAATTTGCACAAGAATTTCAACATCCATTCCTCCTTTTATTTTCTCCCTAAATGTGCAAAGGCAATCACTCGGTGTATTGTTTCAGAAATGCAACAGTGCCATCCTTTTTGTCTTTGTGATTCAGTCAAAACACACACAAAGGAAACTTAGGAGCATCAACATGATAGCGGTTCATTTCGGATACACAAGAATAAGACTTTAATGGATTTTAGGATGAGGATTGATAAAACTAAAAATAAATAAATAACGTGATTACATTGTTAAAAACTTAAAGTACAACCGAACTCAGTTTTGCCCTAGGCTGCCTTTTTAAAAACATACGCTGTCGTGCATGCATGCTACCATATTTTTTAAGCTAGCGTACGTTTTACCATGCCTGCGTCCAATCATACAAGGTGTTTTGTGTGTCCAATACAGAAATAGCACCCGTAACTGACATTCTACGCCAGGGGGGTCAAACTCATTTCACATTGTGGGCCACATATGGCCTCGGTAGATGTCAAGTGGGCCGGACTGTTAAAATTATACCATACTCTGTTATAAATAACCGAAATAATATGTCTCTCCTTTGTTTTGGTCTAAAGAAGCACAAGAACATTAGGAAAATGTTGAAATTTATTGAACATATCTTTTACAAAACATTTCATGAAGAACCTTACATTTCCTTTGACAAATGTGCAATTTACTTTTATCATTCACATATATGCATTGCAACTGATCCCACTGATTGTACAAAGGCACATAACTTAAAGAAGTATTGGTATTGAAAAATATAGCATTACACTTTGAGATTAAACGAGATTTATAAAGAAAGGAATTTTTAAACCATTTACACATGTGCATATAAAATCTAAATTTAATCCCTGCCAACACCTTACAAATTAATGAGAGTGCTATTAAATGTGTAAAGAATAAAGTATTCACATGTCCTTCATAGTGTCGGTTGTGTTGGGTCTGTCTCGATGACAGACTGAGACTGCTGTTGTCTTCTTCTCTGATCAAAACAATGTGTCCCCTAGCAGATACTCCATGGATTGCACCTTATTAAAACTATTCATTCTGTGTCTTTTATGCATTTTTTTTTACTTTTAAATTATCCTGTGGGCCTGGTTGAACCTCCTTGGGGGCCGGCTCCGGCCTGCGGGCCGTATGTTTGACACCACTGCTCTACGCCTTTTAATGCATCGTGAAAATACGGTCCACTGAACTCATAGAAAGATTTCTCTGTCCTAGCTCACAAATCGACAGACTAGTTGAGCAACTATATATTTCAACTATAAATATATGAGAGTTTGTTGAGTCGTCTTCTAAAGCTCGAAAGGAGACTGAATCGAGATGCGATTGCTCAGGAGACAAAGACGAGTCACGGGAACGATACAACTTAGTCTCAGGTTGGCATCTCCCAAATCTTGTTGTTGAAAAGCAGAAATACTGTAGATGAGACACGTTTGAGATCTCAGCCATGTTTCTATTAGCATTTGTTTAACTCTGGGTTATCTTATAAGTGGACGCTATGAAGGCAGTCTGCAAATACGTTTGGGAGAAAGTAAAAAAAAAAATATGGTGTGCAATACTGTAAAGTTGTGAAAGCTTTTTCTCTTGCAATTTAGATGGAATGGAACTGTAATTAATGTCATCAGTACCATCTCTCTCTGAAATACTAAAAAGTGTCAATGGTTACTTTGTTACGAATGTTAGTCAAAGCCTTTGCACAGTAATCTGTTTCCCCAACAATTACAGTAATGACCTGCCTGCTTGTGTACTTGCAAAAATGTATGTGTGCATCTCTATGAACACATCCCACAGAAAATGTCGTTGCTTCCAAAGACGCGACCAGCTGCACGTACATGAAGCAGAATCCGTTTCAGCTTGTTGTGTCATCCGACTGCAACCAGAAACGTGGCTTCCTCTGCACCCACAGTAGGTGTCACGAAACCTTGAGCAACTCCCCTTTTGATTCTGCATATAGACGTCACCTACTTGTGTGAACCTCCAAATCCCAACACTTATTGTCTTTTTTTTTTTTTTTTTAATCATCTGGAAAGGTTTGCAGCCATCACAAAACACACAGGTGAGCCACACATTTTTCTGACAAAAGGAAGCCAAGTCAGAATTTTAATAATGTGGTGCTTTTGCTCGTGGTTACAGGAAAATTTGGCATCCGGATCACGTAAGTGAGACTACTCCAAAAGTCAAGATTGAAAAGCAGAATTCAAACTGTTTATTTCTGTTGGCTGACACTGTCAACTGTACCCTCTCAGGGTTCAAAAGGAGTGAACACCCGATGGCTCCCCATATATATAACATTGTAAACCTTCTTTTGGTATGTTTTTTTTTTCCCCCCATTCAGTGAATTTGACTAAATAGAAAGTTGTCTAGAGCACATTGGACTCACATTTCTGGTCTATCTGCCAAAGGAAGCTGACAATGAACTCATGCGAATGGAAATGGAGGCAGGAGAGCCAACGGATGAAAGTAGGGTGGGTTACTCCATGTACTGTATGCTGTGATGAACAGATGGTGCTTGGCTCTTGGAAACCTTCTCCAAAAACAGTACCGGTACTATAAAGATTGTGAGACACATATTACTGTCTACACATATTTCTATGATTGAATCACTACTCTGTATCAAATACAAAGTGAATTGGAAAAGACTTCTTCTGTCAGTAAGAACAATATTGCAATTGTCTACTTGCTACCGCTAATGCTTCGGTAACATCCTAAGCTCTCTTCTCATCCGTTTCAGGATGGATTCATTCGGTATTTGTTGAAAGGCACTCAAAATCTGACACCTGAACTTGCCCTCGAAAACATTGACGTCATAAGTCACATCATTGGCTGTAGCATGAGCATCCTTGACATGTCCATGAACAAATGTGACATCCAGGTGAACCCTAACCCTACTGTAAGTTTACACAGAATACATAGAAGCTTTTGACAAAAAAAAAAAAAAAGTCATAATAATTAACTACTGTTGCTCCTGCAAAATAGTAACGTATCCCTACGTCCCTGCAGTCCCTATTTGAGGATATATTTGAGATTTTCCGGACCATTTCAGTGCTACTGGGTTCAGCGACATCAGAAAGAATCGTCATTAAGCACTCAATGGGCTCCATCTATCTGAGCAGGTTGGTCCTGACTTTCGTCACGGAACTCAGATAAGAGAAACTTGAAAATTGCGATTTCCCTTTTTTCACTCAGTCACAACCCTGAAGACCTCAGCAATGTCATTCTGGGCTCAGTGGAAGATGGTGAGTTCATCATAATGCCCCCATATTCCGTTCTTCAAAGTCACATTGGCCGAGACGAAAAAATCATTGCTCAGGTGTGTACGCGCGCCATTGGCCTGTTTATCCATCTTTGTTGTCGTAAACGGCAATTTTTTAGCAGTTGTTTTGCTTGTCAGATGGCTACATTCTCGGTGAATCCCCATCCAACTGATGACAAGATCTCCGGAACTGTTTGCAGCCTTTTACTGAGTGATGGAGAGTCAGACGTTGAGTTGTCCAACCTCACAGAGATGATCGAGGTACAGCTGCGATAGTTCACAGCACCGGATTATACATGCATCTTTCGATTGGCTTTCGAAAAGGAGTAAAAGGAAAGCGACAAAGATGTGTGATTTATCAAATGAAATGATTGCATTTCATACTGTGTGCTGTTTATTTGAATGTGAATTCAGTGTCAATTTCATCAATGAGTTTCCTGATAGAGAGAGCCATCTTCATACCAAACATCACATCAATTCCCATAAATTAACCAAATTAAGACATCAAGTGGTAGATCATTTGTATTTGGTGATTTTAAAGTAGCTCGCATGTTGTTAAAGTGTGGGCACTGCTGCTTTACAAGAACCAACCGAGGTATCCTTGGTTTAAGCTAGCTGACAACAACAGCATCAGGGTATTCCGTGCTTTCTTGGTTTATGTGTACTTTTAATTGAAAAAGTATTTGGGCCACGACTGATGACGTTTCGGGAGATCACAAGGACAGACAAGCACGCTTATTGAGAAATGGCCAGAGCCTTCTTAGAGGGGCAGATTGGTGAATCTAAAATCTGGTTGGTAAAAAGATGAAACAAAAACTCTCAAAACCTGAATTTCCTGTTCTCTTCTTCCACATTGGCACAGTGTTGAACAATAGTATGCCTCCCCCGAGTGGCGGAAAGTGAATTTACATCTCAAAACAACAATACAGTACTGAGATATAACTGCCCTTTTTATTTTAAACCCACGAAAGAGGAGTTGTGAAGTGTGTGTGCATATGTGTGCATGTGTTGTGTATTTATTGATTTGCTTTGTATTTTACTTTATGCTTAATTATGGATATTCATTTTTTTTATACTAATTGTACTCATTAAGGTCATGGGTCAGCTAGAAACTTACCGACACTGACTTTTGAATGAAAGGAACACAACACCCTAGGATGGTCATGTTAAATTCTCTTTTGATTAAATAGATGGATGGATAAATCAAAAGTACGTGTGCTTCATATGTCAAAGAATCAAACAGTTTTACATAATCCAAAAGAATACAACTGCTATGAAAACACATTCTCCATGGCCGAGGTAATGGTACCAGTTTGTTTCTTCACAGATATTTATGCCTCGCCCAATCGTTTCAACAGTGATTAACCAAACAGTCGAACTTGAAGAAAATGCAAAGGTACTGACAAGAGTCAACGTCTCAGACCCTACGATGTCCGTTTGTATCAGAGTGGAACCCAGTGGGAACGTTTCCTTGATTCTTACACTGTCTGAAGGGTCGCCTCCGAATTCCAGTTACTTTGCCAACATAACCATCCTAAACCAAAAAGGTAACAATTACTTTGGGCAATTTTTGATAAAGAATTCCAATTTGACAACCTTATCGGTTCTTTGGTTCAAAGCAAATTTGCATGTTGCAGTTGCTTATATTTCTCTAAAAAGAGCTGAGCCACGAATTCATTCTTTCTTTCATGCACTTTCATATTTTTTTTTCTTTCTTTTTGTCTCCCTTTTAACCAAAGGAGGCTACCAATGGATCCTAACTCCGGAGATGTTACGGCAGACTCCTGGGGTATGGTACATTAGCAGTGAACTCTTCAACTCCACGTGGGAGCCAGGCATTGCACTGAGCATCACCACTTTTATGACCAAGTGCATGCACTGGAGCATCGACCAACAAACATGGAGCACAGATGGCTGTCAGGTGAGTTTTAGCAGGTAAATCCTTCCAAAATAAACATTCCCTACACAGATCCAATAAAGAGGAGCATTCAAATGATCAAATGTTTTTTTTTTCTGGAGGCAGCTAAGCTCATTTTGTTTGAGTGTTTCTTGTTTTTTGCTGTCTTCCTTGGTCAGAAAGTTTGTTTTTCTTCAATATCACATGGCACATTGTTGTCATTTAGGTGGAGGTGGGGGGATGAGGGTCACAAGTCAGAATTTCACACGGCTGCTTAAAATTTCACACTATGTTGTTTTTACCTCCAGGTTGGGAAGCAAAGTACTCCCGGACAAACTCATTGTCTCTGCAACCACCTCACTCTTTTTGGGGGTTCCTTCTTTGTGATGCCGAACTATGTGGACTTAACACGCACGGCGGAGTTGTTTGGCACTGTCTCTCAAAACTACGTGGTGCTCTCACTGCTTTGTGCTTTTTTTGGCCTCTACCTGGTCACTCTCTTGTGGGCGTGCTATGCTGACCGCAGATCACGCTCCAGAGTGAGTTCATTAAACACACATGCACATAAAAAAATCTGTTTTTGTTAGTCACTGAAGACAGTAAGCTCGTCAATTACTGTATTATAACCTGTCATGTCTCTTCGCTAACCCCTTTTTCCAACACATTCAAATGCTCATGGCAATAATCAAATGTCAGAGGAAGATGACTCTGCTGGAGGACAACCACCCGTGTGCGCAGTACAACTACTTGATCGGTGTCCAAACAGGACAGCGCAAGAATGCGGGGAGGACTGCCAATGTAAGTCTTGATAAATGACACACAAAGAGGTGTGTCCTTCAATGAATGGTGAATCAAAATGGAATACAGTTACATCTTTGGAAAGTGGCTAAGACCTTCTGATTTTGTCTTTATACACCAACACAATGGATTAGAAATTAAACAATAAGAGTTTAGGTGAGCAAATTTACTATTGAAGACCTTCAAAAAAATCAGAGAATATAAGTTGGTTCACCTCACAAAACAATTTTAGCTTGACTACTGTTAAAACTTGTCATCTTTCGTGGATGTTGAAATCTGATTTAATGATCTTAGGTTGACAAAAATGATTACACGATATCGAGCAAACAAAAGGGCACAAAAGGAAAATGATCTTGTGTATTTGGTAGTTTCTCCAACAAAGTAACTTTTACGGCAGCCGTTTCAAAATCAACACTTTCCCAGTGACACCAAAATACTCTGATATATCTTGTATTATCCATCCATCCATCAATGCATCCATCTATTTTCTAATCCGCTTTATCCTCACAAGGGTCGCAGGGGTGCTGGAGCCTACCCCAGCTGTCTTCGGGCAGTAGGCGGGGCACACCACGAACTGGTTGCCAGCCAATCGCAGGGCACACAGAGACAAAACAACCATCCGCGCTCTCACTCACACAATTTAGAGTGTTCAATCAGCCTGCCATGCATGTTTTTGGAATGTGGGAGGAAACCAGAGTACCCGGAGAAAACCCACACGGGCCCGTGGGGAATGTGCAAACTCCACACAGGGAGGCCAGAGCTGGAATTGAACTCAGTAACTCTGCACTGTGAGGTCGACAGGCTAACCACTGGGCCACCGGGCCGTCCATCTTGTAATATAGCATATAAAAACTAATAAAAACTTGATGGTTGTGAAACATCGTTGACATTGTAGTGTCAAGCATGCTAAGTTTCTGAAGATGAATTGTCTCTCTCTAGGTTACAGTGACAATGACTGGCTCAGAGGGACAAAGTGATGCACACCATCTCGCGGATCCTGACAAGCCCGTGTTTGAGAGGGGAGCTGTCGACATGTTTCTCTTGGCCACACCCTTCCCACTGGGCCAAGTGCGAAACATTAGGCTGCAGCACGACAACTCTGGAGGTCACCCATCATGGTACGTCAGAAATCCAGAGCCCAATTTTAGTACCCAGCACAAGTCTGGCGCATTTGTGCACATGGGAGGACTTTTCTTTCTTTTGGTATTTTCGCAGACGAGCGCAATTAGAAAGGGATGTTTTCGCCATTGAGGGCGTGAACACAGAGGACTTGCTTCCCAGACAATGAAAGCTGCTGCTCTCATTGCCTTTAAACTCAGCGCAGAAGCAGCGCACGGTCCATATGGTAGAAGCAGAAATTTAAATCATGAAAATAAAAGAGGATGAGCAGGCTACAGTAGTGCAGACAGAGAGTGCCAGAGTGGGCAAGTGTTGCAACAGCGGTAAAGGAGAGGGTGTTAAACCCCTTCACCAGTAAAGGTGTTGAAACTCCACCATCCCCCACAGGTGTGATGTCTATGGCTGGAGCATAGGACTCTAACTCTTCAGATCTTACAAGATCAATAACATCAATGGTGGGCCGTGCATTTGGTATTTGGGCTAGAGCTAAGATCGGTCCTAAAAAATCGAGCCCGACCCGAACCGGCCCAAGGGTATTTAAGCCCGACCCGGCCCAAGCCCGATCACTTAACTTGATTTGCAGGCCCGAGCCCAAAGCAAACCCGACATTTCATATTTTATTTGTGAGGACTCGGGAGGAGGAGGGGTGATTTCTGATAACAAAGCCCGTCTTTTGGAACGAAATCTAAGTTAATCAAGACTGTATCAACATTTACATCTTTTATATTTCTGTTTCTGAAGAGGTTACATTAATCGACAATTTTCCATCATGGACGGATTTTTTTTAAGATTGGACGGGGAAAATTTAAGGCCGTCCGTCATTTTGATGGGTTGAAAATTGGGCCATAAACCACCGCAGCAGTACGTCCTTAAGAATCTTGCGCGGGTCTTTAAGAGAGAGAAGCAGAGAGACAAAGACGAACAATGACGGGTGGATACTCGACAGAGACTGGAAGGAGTTCTTTGAATTGTCATTGCAAGAGTTTAGTACAGTACGTGTTGTGATGAGCAGACTTCTGTTTTTTCCGAACCACGGTCTCTCGTGTCCAAAACTATTCACGGCCTCGAAACAAACAAAAAAAAAAAGTCAGCGAGAGAGAAGCCCAACCCGACCCGAACCCGAAGCAATGATTGACATTTTAAGGCCCGACCCGACCCGAATTTCTTGTCGGGTCGGGCTCGGGCTCGGGCGGCACGATCTTACCTCTAATTTGGGCCTTCACTGAGTCGGCACTTATCTTAGTCCACTTACTGTATAACGTGATCATTCACATTGCAATTATAGAAACCATCAATACTGTACAAAAACACAACAGTATGCAACCACTGTACATCTGGAGTATTTCAGAATCAATATTTGTCTACTAACATGTCATAAACAGAAGATTCATAGAAAATCCATCACACTCACCACTGAGGATTAATAAATGCATTCATGTGCGCAGACAATCTAATAAAGCAAATCTTTTAAAGAATTTAGGATGTGAATGTTGGTCAGTGCTTCTGTTTGTGTTGAGGCCAGCAGAGAAGGCATTGCTGGCCCTGACACTTCACCACTGGATGGCATATACACACTGATGAGTGATTTAATGAATTGCTCTCGTGTTAAGGTATGTAAACAAGGTGACCATACAGGATCTCCAAACTCAACATGTTTGGCACTTCTTTTGTGACTGTTGGATAAGCAGTGACCATGGCGATGGTATGACGAAGAAAATGTTCAATGCTGCAAAGAGCGATGAGGTATCCTGCTTCAGGTAAGGCATGCTATGCTGTCTTGAAAGCATGTGAGCATGTCATGCAAAACTCTGAGTCATTACATACTTTGCCTCTTTATTATCAGGAATATTTTCCAGAGCCGAACATCGACAGGTTTTAGGGATGAACACATTTGGATGTCCATTGTGGATCCGCCATGGCGGAGCCCTTTTACTCGGGTTCAGAGGGTTTCTTGCTGTATGAGCCTGCTCCTGTGCACCATGGCCATCAATATTGCCTTTTGGAACGTTCCAGAGAATGAGGATTCTCCAGTAGTCTTCTCCATTGGTAGATCAGTTTTTGAATCATTACTGTGCTTGGATTATGCCCATTTGTTCAGCATGTGAGTGTCAATGGTTCATAATATAGAATAGAGCCATCTATATTTATCATGCATACACACGTACATGAAATATGACCTTTACATTTGGCCCACTACAGTGGTGGACACATTTAGGATGAAAGCAAAATCATACTATGGCAATTTATTTGTGGTGTTGATATTGTCAAGCATCGGAATAATCTGATTCTGTGTAAACAACTTCTGGGTTAAATGTAAAGCTTCGTCATTAAAACTGTTCCGGTCCAGCTGTTCTGCTGGATCTCCGAGTAAAAGAGTCAGTCCTATGGTTGTGACTGGCTCTTCCCCTAACTCAGCTCCGATAAACTCAACTCAACTTTGACCTCAAGCTTTTGCCTTATGTCAATTTTAAAGCACTATTGATTTATGGTGAGCTAAAAAGGAGATTTAAAAAAAAATATCGACACTCCCAAGACTGATCAAAATGCCTGGTTTCTGTGATTAAAAAAAACTAAACTTGAAACCATGTGTTGCAGCTCCGAAGCAAACAGAGCTGTCGTGGTGGTTTTCAGAACATTTACTTTATTAATTAGTTTCACACTGAAGCGAATACAGACACTTCGATGTTGGACTACGTGCCTTCTCAACTGCCGTCCAACTCGAGAGACGTTCAAAGACCGCCTCAGAAAAAACATAAATTAACGATTACCTAAAAGACACTCAGGAAAGCAAAAATAATGCAACAAAACAGAAAATCAAGTGAACAACATGAACAGTCTCCTACACATGAAACTTTAAATCATTTAAAGCTTTGTCCATCAGCATGGGCGTCATTAGGCCTATTTTAGGGAGGCTTCAGCCTCCCTAAAAATGTCTTTAGCCCCCCTAAATAATTTCATTGCATTATTTAAAAAAAAGTATTATTTATTTTTCCTGTACGTTTACTAATATAGTGCATCAAATTCAATGTAATGTGGCCATTTTAAAATATATATTTTAAATTATATTTCGATAACCTGCCATTATTGTAATGTTAAATCTCCCAGGTTTCCTGAACGCAGCATTTGACGTGTCTGTCACCATCGCCACATCAAAAAGTTCATTGCCGAAAGTCAGGTTGAGTCGACAGCATCGATATTCGACAGTTTTTTAGAAAGGTAAAGTATTCAATGCATCCATGCTGGTAAAACTAGTGACTATAGTCCGCTAAAATATCTCCAGTAACAGCAGAAACTGCACTGTAACAAGTGTTCACTTTTGGATAAATTAAGGTGGTGCTTAATAAAAATTAAGCAATATTTTATTATTAAATACATAAATAATCATTACACCAACTCTTTGAGGCAACACCTATTGAAATTTTGGCCTATATAAAATAAATAAATAAGTATAAAATAAATAAATTTATTTATTTGATAGGAATCAGGCTAAAGACGCACAGAGAGTGAGGGGGGGCTCTGCTGGACAGGTGAGTCTATCAGAAATCAAGGCTAATTTTACTTGCAAGGCTGTTCCCAAAATGCAATCGGAGCTTACAGTAAGTATTGAGCAGCAAACTTGTGTTTTTCCAAAGTGATGAAGCTTTTGCATCTCATTGTACTAACTTAAATTGCATATCACGGCAGGCATCTCAAAATACATAGTCTTCTGGGGGCTAAGCATATATTAATACATTTTGGTAGAGAGGAATATAGGCCTACTGTCATATAGGTTATGTTATTGGGCATCCTTCTAATTCCCTTGAACAACCAAGATTGAACTTTTGAACTCTTTATAATTTCTATTATCTAGTCCAGTTAAAGTCCAGGGGAGGAAGCCCCATCATAGTAAAGAGGATACTAATGTGATGTGTGTAGTTCTTCATAGCCTCTTCATTTTGCTCTCAAAGTGCACGGAATTGATGGATTTTTAACAGAATGTAGAAAAAAACTTCCCGGGGGGGGGGTATGCCCCTGGACCCCCCTAAAGGGGCTGTGTTCCCATTGGGGCTAAGCCCCCCTTGTTCTTGAAACCTAGTGACGCCCCTGTCCATCAGTAATGTGACCTCTAAGTTGTACAGCTAAAATATCTTACAGAGAGAAAGTCTAAATAACCAACTGAGATCGTGTTGCACACATGTGCTTATCCTCTTAGAACTGGGAATGTGGCTGCGATCAGATTTAACCAATCACAATCCAGATGACAGCAATCCCGATATATTTTTATATTTACTTTATTTCTTGTGAGCTAGGGTGTAAAGGCAACAGTCTTTTTTTTCCAACGAAAAAAAAATACTTCAAATCACACAAATGCATGTAGGAAAAGATACGGTCAGATGAAAACAATGTCGAAGTCCATCCTTCCATCCATTTTCAACACCGCTTCTCCTGAACAGGGTAGCAGGAGCATATCCCAGCTGTGTTTGGGCAGAAGGCAAACTACACCCTGAACTGGTTGCCAGTCAGTCACAGGGCATACATAGAGACACACGACCATTCACACCCACACCCACACCGTCACTGAAGTGAATCCCATGCTGCGTGCACAAAAGTCATGCAAGTGAATGTTACTGCTTGATACTGAACACAGCCACATCTGAAATTATAAGGTGTACACATGTGTGTGACCACAAATCAATTATTTCTTTGAACTTTATCTCGAAAATATTTCTTTTTTTTCCCAATTGAGTTAAACATGTTATAGGTCACAATGATGAAAAAATGGTTTGGAAAGCATTTGTCAATGTGTCATTTGTGAGTTCACAGAAACGTGGCAGTTGAGCACAGGTGTAGACTTTTAACATCCATTCTCCCATGCTGTTAACAGATGTCCAGTAGTGCAGGCTGATATCACGCATGACAAACCACAGCTAAAGTGGTGCATATCACCAGCAGAGGGCGCAAGAGATGACTGAAACTGAAAGTGACACGTGATTGAGCTGAACATTGGCATTTATATAATAGGTGGTCTGTATGTAAAAAAAAAATGATGCCATCACTAAAATTCACTCCCCTGAAAAACGCCGAAATTGGAGAAGATTACTTCATTGACATAGCAGACTATATCTTGAAACAGGAAGCACTGGAAACATTTTAATGACATTAATACACGTTTGTGTTGATATGCTGAGGTGAGAGGAAAGCATAAATATGACAAGATCGATCATAAACTTCAGTGGATTGTTTGTGCTGAAGTGTAGGCTTTTTAAAAATATATAATATTCATAGACTTTTCCATATGCATTTTAGTCATGTTCCTCCGTCATTTGTGTTCAATGCAGAAATATAAGTCAAATGTTTATTTGCAGCCTATCCCAGCTGATTTGGGTGAGAGGCGGGCTCTACACCCTTGACTGGTTAACAACCAAATAGGCAGTTTGTATGTTTGATTAATTGAAGACTCAAAATTGCCAATAATTGTGAATGTGAGGATGAATGGTTGTTTGCATGCAGTAAATCGTTGGCCACATAGCATAATTGCCCGAATCACTTTTGGGCCAAATTTTGGTATCTGCATAACTTTAGACTCTTTCCACTGCTGCATCATCGTGCCTTTCTTACGATTTCCTTCCCCAATAAAATACAATCTGCCAAAGTCATCTCCTTGACTTCGGCAGTTTTGAGTCTACAAACAAAATGCGCAATAAACGAATAAGATCGTGATGAGTGCTTTTGTGCTTGTTAAGACCCTCAAAATTAGTGTGTTCTTTGTAGCAAACGGCGGGTTCTCACAGCAATTCGATTTTACAAAAAAAAAATCATCATCAACATTCTTTCTAGAAAACAAGAGGTTAACAGCTAGAAGAAAAACATCAAAGATCAAAACACGTATTTCCTTTAGCCAGTAGATGATGCTACCACGACAATGAAAAATACATTTGTTAATGTTTTTTTCTGGCCTTGACAATCATCAAATGTGTGAAATTTTGAAACGATAGGATCATCTGGGTCAAATTACAGCAGATTTTAATGGTCGGACATTCAGCGACGCTAAAGTTTTGTAAGGCTCGAGAGGCAGGCAGCCATTAGCCTCCTTCAGCTAACAGGCTAACGCCACTGCAGCTGCCAGCTGTGATAGGCCAGCTCACCCATGATCCTGAACACGATATGGATGGGTGGTTTCAATAAAAGTGAGTTGTGATGGATGACCATGGGGAAACTATGGGGTCCATGGCACCCCTTGAATTACTTACTCACTGACAGATCAATTCTACGATATTCTGTCAATGATCCCTGCCCAGGTTCGCTGCAAATTACGTGGCAGGACATCATGGTGGGCGTCGAGAGTGGTCTTCTCATGTTCCCAATCAACATCCTCATTATCACCATATTCCGAAGCATCAAACCACGCATTGTTTCAAAGTCTCCAAAAAACAGCTCGGAGGACAAAGTGAGACCCCGGTTGGTTACCATAACAACCATTCTAAAGGTGGGTTTAAAAATAGGTACGCTTTGTTTTACGTTACATGGCTTCATTACTGATCTTGTAAAATCACTCTGCCAGTCCTGCTGTGAAAAAGGAGCCCTGTATATCCGCTACTCTCAACTGGGTCATGTGTCGTCATTGTTTTAGTCAGCCGAATATGCATTGATGTTCTCTAATGTTGCTATTTGTTGTTACTCCTTCCCAGGAAACCGAGGAGGTCCTTTCTCTGCTGAGCAGAAGTCTACGGAACAAAATGGCACAAATATACAGATTGGAGTCCATCCCTGATCTCTTTGCAGCCTTGAACAGAGTGCATGAATTAATTCATCTTATGCAAGGTACTCCCAATTTTCATGCAAAAAAAAAAAAAAAACAAGACACATACGTAGAGATGCTCTGAAATTCTTCTTCGGGTCTTTGTCCGTCAAGGGGAAATTGAGAGCGACCTGCATTGGGTCTACTGCAGCAAGTTCCTCCTCGCCGCTCTTTGTCGCCTGCGTTTGTGTCTAGAAACGTTGGACGGAAAGAACTTCCCGAGTCCACAGGATTACGCACAAGCACTAGACATCACCAATCTGCTGGTTCGCAAGGCCGATATGGTTTTCAGCAGTCACTTAGCCTGCTGGTAGGCGCTTTGCCCGTCACACTCACACAAATACGAGCATGTTACATTTAGAGTACTGGGTCCATTTGGTGAGAACATGTTGTACTTTTGTTTCCTTGTCTGTGGCCCAGCTCACCTCCCGTGAAAAAGAAGAGTGTGTCATCCGGCTGCTGGTTGCCTTGGTGGTGTGTGTTCATCGGCTGGTTCCTGTTAATTTCCCTCAGCGGCGTGTCCACTTTTTTCACCTTGCTCTATGGATTTTACTATGGCAAGGCAAAGTCCATCAAGTGGATCATGTCTCTGGGCCTCTCTCTCTTCCAGAGCATTGTCATATTACAGCCTCTCAAGGTGGGTCTGGATGAAAGCTGTCCACAAACTCAAACACAGTCATCCCTAGTATGGGTACTTTTTCTAAAGTATTCTCTTCATGCAGTATGTGGTGCCCCACACTTAAAATTGCAGGGCCTCACGCTGATTGTTAGTAATTGTAGTTGGTCCATATTAAATGTTTGCATCACTTTTCCAATATTTTGTTATGTTAAAGCCTTATTCCAAATTTGATTGATTTCATTTTCCATCCATCCATCCATTTTATGATCCGCTTATCCTCACAAGGGTCGCAGGGCATGCTGAAGCCAATCCCAGCCGTCATCGGGCAGTAGGTGGGGAACACCCTGAACTGGTTGCCATCCAATCGCAGGACACACAGAGAAGAACAACCATCTGCGCTCACACTCATACCTCAGGACAATTTAGAATGTTCCATTAACCTTTGGTGCATGTTTTTGGAATGTGGGAGGAAACCGGAGAAAACCCACGCAGGCCCGGGGGGAACATGCAAACTCCACACAGGAAGGCCGTAGCCGGAATCGAACCCTGCACTTCGGCACTGTGAAGCCGACACGCTAACCAGTCGCCCACCGGGCCCGGAGACAGCTTGGTTTGGCTCCAGCACCCTCCGCAAACCTTGTGAGGATAAAGCAAATCGGAAAATGGATGGATGGATGGATGAATGTTTGCCAACATGCCAAACATTAAAAGCAAAGAATTCACATCCTTTGGCATGCAAAGGACTGGAAAAAAATGACACTAGATCACAGATTCAATCAGAAGATGGAGCAGTCAACAACTTGTATGTTTTAACTGCAGTTGACGCGCACCACAGCGAATATGCAATGAAAAAAAGGATTTAAACACCAAATTTTTTTTTGAAAAATGTTTGCACCATCTCCTTCTGCGACATGAATTTTAAAAAAAATGCATACAGTGCCCCCTTTCCCTACTCATAGGCCTAACCATCAACTGTAAGCCCCCCCCCCGCCATAACCGAGATCCTCAACTCATTTTTTAGCATTGGCAAACAGATATGCGACACGAAGAAGGGGTATTGCTGAAGAATTGCCAAATGTGCTTCAACAAAGTCTTGAGCCAAGGTTGCGACTTACGCACATGTAATTTCATAGTTTTTTTAAAGACATTTGTAAACAAAAAAAATATGATTAGATTAGTTGTACAATTTTGAGGGGAATTCTTTTCATTATTCAGTGGCGTGACAAAATGCAAATAATAAAGATTTGTTGTAATAAACTAGAAAAGTTTATTGCAACAAATCTTTTCTGAGGTGCCCATTTGCCAAATGCGTATGCGAATGAGCCTTTTCAAAATTTTCCCCACTTTGACATTAGAGTGAAAACCTCAAAATTGGCTGAGTTTTCACGAGGCTGAAAAAAAGTCCAGTTTAAAGTGAGCTGTCATTTTTGGGGTATTACCTAGATGTAAAATCATTATTGCTGTTGTTACTGCTATTCTGTCCGTTCATTTCTCCTACTGCTGTCTCCTCGTCTGTCTGTCTGTCTGACTGACTGACTGATCTACTGCAGCTGTTGTCGTGCCATAAATGCTTCAAATGTAAAGACATTTTTCGGTTCATGGGACAAGAGGATTTGTCTTTATTTTTAAAGGTGATTGGAGTCGCTGTGTTTTTCGCCCTGTTGCTTAAACCTGTCGCGGTGGAGGAAATTGAAGAAATTGAACAAGTGCTTTCAGGTAAGGGGTCAAAATGATGTCATATAATGCTCTTTGAACCCTTGTTGCCTGTGATGACAATAGGATTTGACCTTCATTCGAGTTTTCCAATCAGCAGCATGCGGGTTCCAAATTAGTCACACTTTGAGTGATTGTCTAAAAAAACATACCGAGGAAATTCAAAGAGGTCGGCACAAAGGTGAGCTTATTTGAACCTTGGCTCAGGCCCGACGGTGTGAAGGTTGCATATTCGCCCCAAAAGGTTTATTTCCAGGATTTTAAACACTCATTTGCGCTCACAATCACACCTAGGGACAATTTAAGGGTGTTTCATTTATCTACGGTGCATGATTTTGGACTGTGGGAGGAAAACAGAGGACCCGGAGAAAACCCACAGAGGTACGAGGAGAACATGCTAACGCCACACAGGATGGCCGGAGCCGGAATCTAACCCTAGGCCTCTGCACTGTTAGGCCGGCGTGCTAACCAGTCGAGCACCGGGCCGCCCTGAAAACCTTTCAACAATACAACAGAAATGCTGAGAAAAAAAAGTCGTACCTGAAAATGCATCTTACGTCCCTAAAACTATAATTTTAATGGGAATATCCTTTGTTTTTGTCAATGATACATTTCAGCGTTCATTTTCGAGATATTTATTTCAGTATGAAAGACATCCGCACAGAAGGAAGATCAAACAGTCGTTGGGAGAATTGCAGTTGACTACTTAGTGATATTGTTTTTTTCTTTGTCTTTCACTGGACAAACTGAAACGAGGACTAAAACAAAATTACAATGAAGCCATTTTGATGGGAAAATAAAAAGTACCGTAATAAAAAATGAAAAGACCTGCTGTACAAACTAATTAAAACCAGCTGTGAAGACAAGCTGTTTTGAGAATGAATTTGGAAAAACAAGCCCTAACGAAACAAAAATATATCCAAAACTATTAGAACCCTAACAGGTACAGAAATTAAGCAAGGTTAAAGTGCTACAAGACTCATGGTTTATCTTTTTCCATTTTCCAGAACAACAATACAAATGCAGGCGTTACTCCAGGGGCGAACGCTGAGGATGCGGGCTCCCTTGCGCCGTCTTTTCCCGAGTCACCCCTTTGACTCCATTGGGGGAAAGAAAAAAAAAAAAATCCAGATTCTATTCTGGTATTTGCTCCTTTATCCTCCCAACTAACTGGCAGCGGTGATTTAAATGATCTTTATCAAATGATTGCTGTTATCTTTAAGTTATTTGCCCTTTCTTTGAAGGTTTTATGTCATGAAGTTGACTAAAATCCATCTGTCCCTTCAAACTATCCTTGAGGCAAGTGTGGCAACACTTTTTTTAAACTTTAAATTCCCTATCAGCATAATTGTTGATTAGTCACGACATTTCTGTTCCAATCTATACTTACAGGTAATAACCCATTAAGTTCCTACTTGTGCAGTGTGAAGATGACTGGAACGTGTAAAATTGTTACGACCTGTACTGTATTTTTATGAGCTGTAAATGGAAATTATGATTTTGTGCAAGAGCATTATTGATTGCAGCTGCTTCGATGTTGTTCCAAATAGGTGACAAACTATCATCAACCTGGTTTCTAAGTGTGGAATTGAATAAACAGCTCTCATTTAAAACAATGTGTGACATTTAATGAAGTGAGTTTTGTTTTTGTTACACATTTAGTCCATGATAATAGGATGGCATTCAGTGTTACACAAAACATTTCAACTAGCTTCACAGACTTTTACTAAATTGCCATTTTATTATATTTGATGGGGAAAACACACATTATTGTCCAACATGGTGAAACGCAAGAGGGCAGTTCTGCAGTGTCATTATCCTAAGTTTTGTCAGAACCTTTCCAGAAACGGCTGAATCATTCCTTTGAGGCAGCTGTCCTTTAGGGCTTAAGCGTTAGGTGTGGTTAGGTTGAAGGACACGAGGTATGTGGACGACAACAGTTCCGATGCTATCAAAGCATCACTTTGAACCAAATAGTTCACGGGCAATGTGACGCCTCTACAAAACAAGACTGAGGAAATGGATCCAGTCTTAAGGGATAGCAAGTGCATGATGCGCGCCCCTTGTACAGACTAGCAAGGCCTCTGGTGAGAGATGCGACAATAAGGCAAATGCAGCAGAGCGCATACAGTGTGAGACACGTGACAACATAGGGAACGATCTAAATCCACAATAGCTCTGTGGGGTGACAATTTACATGTTAAAATTAAATTGCGTGGGGTCGTCTTTTGATACACTACAGATATTTGGTAGACCTGAAGGGGTTATTTTTTTATTTAGATATATATAAACAAACCGCTCCCCAACGACCACACCCAAGTTTCTTCATAAAACATGCAATCACCAGATGAATGTATAAGATACGGACTGCACGGGCGAGGCGGGTAACAGAAAACAGAAGACAGAAGACAAATGGCTTCCATGTGCCCTGAAACCTCTTTAAAATTAACTACAGGAATCGAAACCTCATCCCACAAACCTGTAAACAGGCCGGGCTAGGCAGTCGGACTAGTTTAACGGGTCTGAGATGAGACAGAACAAGTCGATAGGAAAGATTACAGCATCACAGTGCATGCCAACAATGATGGCATGAACAGTTGGTATTAGACAGGCAGCAAACCTGGGAAAAGAGTATTCAATGATGACGCATATCACAGCAATAAACGGAAAATGTGACAATTGTGAGGCCAAGCAAGATGAAGTGAGAATGACTCTATGGAGTTAGCTTCAGAGCATCCCAGTAAGTATAAAGCCCCAGGTGACAGCACTCATAATCAGGGGGAAAAGATAAAAATAAAATCATGACCAATTCTGAGTGAGCAAGCCCACCCTCACTGATGTCGGAAAGAGTAAAATGTTATCTTTTATATATGGATATAAATGCAGAGCCGTGAACATGTTCTACTTTCTGTTCTCACGTGTACCCAGGCAACAACGCCAGCCCGTGGACTTGTTAAGACACCTAAGTCTTCTTCTTCAGCATCTCAAAGCGTCGCGTGAGGTCATCAAAGTCGATGTCTTCCGAAGTGGTGTTATTCCCGCTGAAGGAGGTTGCAGGGAGCGTGTCCGGGACCGAGGGAAGTTCTGGGAGAGCGTTGTTGTCATATAACTGTGACGAGGGACCTGCAGCAGAATAGGAGGGGCGGGAGCTTGAGATGAACCTGTAGTATCAAGGCCGGTACTGTAACCGTATGCAATTGTTGGTCGGACTTACCGATGGCCTGAGAAGGAAGAGAGTGTTTTAGGTCATCAATCTAAAAGAGAATAAGGGTGTTTGTGACAGCATCTCCTCACATCAGAGTCAAGGTTACGTTGTGTTAGTACTTCAAGTAAGAAAAGAAACAAAGGTCAAATGCTTGTGGGGCTCAATGAGGAAACCACCACCTTTTGTGCGCGTCAAGACTTATGAAGCTACATGGGAGTCTCCGCTGCAGCACTCTGCTCAGTCCAATCTAATCACAGGTCAGTTAGTGGGACCACTGAGTTGTTAGTGCTCACAATACGTACAAGCCATTCGTGCTACCTACGTTTGCGCACACAAATTAAAAAAAAAAAAACTTAGCCAACTTAGGGAAAGGGGCAGAAGTGCAGAGGTAAGAGCAGAAGCTAAGTGAACAACTCTTCCCTGAGTGATGCCCTGCCCTGCCCTGTCCGTCTGTCTGTCTGTCCATCTGCGGGAGCAGGGAGGGGTCATGGATGGGAAGAGTTTGGTCACTTACGGACTCGTATGTGGGGGGAGAAGTGGGCAGCTGAGGGGGCTGCCCTCCGCCCACTGGGTGCGGGAAGCTGTTGTAAGATCCAACGGCTGGATTGAACGGTTCCTGGAGGGAAACATGGAACATAATTTCACTGATGAAAACACACTCGCCTTCCGACCACAACACGCCAAGTTGGGGTCAGAATCCCAACCGGCATTATCGTGCCAATTTTCCAGAAGATGATGACAATTTTACGCTAATCTTTTTCAAAAAATGTTTTACATTCATTATGATTTGAGTATTTGGGGGGAAAAAAACTTATAAAAAACAATGATGATTGACTATCAGATATGCAACTACAGTACATTTTTTTCAAACCTCACTATCATTCACAAGTTAATTTCATGTGTAAAAATAGCTTGCAAAGTCCTACTTGTTATCCATGTAAATGCATTGCAATTATTCTTTACATTTCAATCAAAATAATTTCGACATATATGGTGACAATACCTACCTGATTATGATCTCACGAGAGTTAATTAGGTTAGGTTTGGAAAAAGTGTAATAAAGCACACTTTTTACAAAACTTAAGCACTCGGTTCATTAAAGTAATGTCAATCAGCTCCATTTGTGGCCGTGTCTGGATCCTCTGGGGAAAAATCAAATGGAAGGAGCAGCGAAAAGCAGAGCAACCAAATGTTCAAAGTGTGAAATCGTAAACTATATTCCCATCGGGTGTTTCAATACACCATGTGGAGAAGAGGAAGATTCACATTGCTTTAAAAAGTCGAAATGGTCATTAAGGAGCACATTCTCCCGGTCGCGCTTGTGTCCGTTCCTTACTTGTGTGCCTTTTTCTACACTTTCAAGACGCAGTGATTCTCGCGTTCAAGCTTCTGACACACCCACCATGCATAACCTGGAAATCTGTGCGCACCGATCAAAGAGGCGTGATTCGGTGAGGTCGGAGGGTGGCCCTATTTTC